CGCCTCCCCGCAGGCTGACTGGTGCGTGTGGCCGGCCGCGCAGCTGGTGAACTTTCTCTTCGTGCCCCCCCAGTTCCGGGTCACCTACGTCAACAGCCTGACGCTGGGCTGGGACGCGTATCTGTCCTACCTGAAGTACCGGGTGAGCTGGACGGGTGTGGGCGGCCCAGACATCCAGAAGACTGCTGGGGGTGGTCCCTTGTGCCACCCCAAATGGCTCTGCAGGGGCCGTGGAGGGGGCGCTAGCAGTGACCACAGCGTCTGTGCTACAGATCCCAGGCGCCCCGGCGCCCCAGGCTTCAGACTGAGCCGCCCGGGCACAGGACCGGATGCCAGACAGGGCTGGCAGCCTCGGAGTGGACCGCTTCTGCGGCAGGCGGCACCGATTCCCGCGGCCTGAGCCCGGGCCTCGGCTGCCCCATCAGCAACAGCGGGACAGGAGGCCCGCGCTGTCCTCCACGGCCTCGGGAGACTGTGACCCAGGCCCTCATCACCACCCTGGCCTGGCCCCCGCCAGGCACAGCACGCCCCTGCTGTACCCCACGGGTCTCGGTCACTCGCTGGGGGAGCCCCATTAAACTCGCTGCCCGAGGACGGCCACACACAGGGACACCGCTGGTCCATTCGCTTTATTGGAGTGTGGTGGTGTCGTGACATTTCCTAGGGGGTTGGGGGGCACGCTGAACACTCGTTGACATCAGAACAGTTCTGGGGGGCCCTTGGCACCCCAACCACCCAGGAAGCTGAGAACGACGCTGACCCCCGGTCCACGGGGTCCCCAGGTGGCAGCCACCCCCCCACCCTGTCACCTGTCCATCCTGCTCGGGGTGTCACCTGGCCCCCTCTTTACAACCAACAACTGTGATGGGTGAATTAGAAAAACCAACTGGGAGGTGGGGTCTGGAGCGGTGGGGCAGGGCGGGCCCTCCTCAATAAATAAATAAATAAATAGCTAGCTACGATAATAAATAGGGGCGGGGCGGGAGCCGTGTCCAGGGACTCGGACATCTTCTCGCAGATGACGTCCACCAGGCGCTCGAAGGTCTGCTTGACATTGATGTTGTCCTTAGCGCTTGCCTCAAAGAACTCGAAGCCTGGGGTGGGGAAAGCGGGGCGCCCCAGCGCACAGGGTCAGTCGCGCTCCCAGACCGCTGCACCCACACTTGCCATGGCTCCTTGGGGCTGACGGGGTCCCTGCGCGACGTTTCCCCCAGCTGGCCCACCTGCTCCAGCCTCATAAAGCACTCAGCAACCCAACTGCCCTCCTCACTTCCTGCCTCTCTCCGGCCTTTGTTTCCTCTACCCTCCAAGCTCCAATCCACCGGCCCCTTCACTACACCCGGCCACAGCCCGGCTCCCCCTCCACAGTCTCTGGCCTGGGTCTCTCCTAGTCACAAAGTGAGGAGACTTTCGGGGGCCCAACAGGAGGTCATCAAAATGAAGTCGCTCAAGGGGAAAAAAATGAGAACCAAGCCCTGTCATGTAAAGGTACAAGATCCCAATAATGAATGTAACTGTACTGTCTACCTAGAATGTACCAATAAACTCAATAAAAGAAAAAAAGTGAAATCACTTTTTCTAGGTGAACTCCTATACATCTGTCAAAACCCATCCTGGAAGGCTCCTGGACCCTCCCATTTGCAGAAAGTGTGAACTGCTGGGATTTGCATCCATGTCCTGTCCTGGCTCACTGTAGATCTCGGTGCACCTCTTCCCCTCAGTGCCTCAGTGGCCCTGAGGCCTGCATGGCACTCACCAAGGTGGTCGGCCAGCTGCCGGCCGCGCTCCGAGGACACCACCCGCTCGTCTTCCATGTCACACTTGTTGCCCACCAGCAGCACCTGGGCATTGTCCCATGAGTAGGTCTTGATTTGAGTGGACCTGCAGGCGTCGGCCAAGGGTGGTTAAGGCCGGGAGCTCCCAAACCCTGCCCTGAGGATTCAGGCTCTTGCTGAGCTGCTCCCCCAGCCCCATTTCATTTCACTTTATTTTACTTATGTCTGACACAGGATCTCACTATGTAGCTCAAACTGGCCTTGAACTATGTAGCCCAAGCTGGCCTCCAGCTGATGGAGATCTTCCTGCCTCAGCCTCCTGGGGGCAAGAATTCCAGGCGTGCACCACCACATACACAGGACCTGGCTGGTCCTTACAGCTTCTGTCCCACCCCTGGGGACTCCACACTCCCCTCTGCTCACAGCTTTTCCCTCTTGACATCCCCCCGCTCCAGCCACAGCGAGGCCCTCACCAGTCCTGCACGGCATTGAAAGATTCCTCGTTTGTGATGTCATACATGAGGATGAAGCCCATGGCGCCGCGGTAGTAGGCGGTGGTGATGGTGCGGTACCGCTCCTGCCCTGCTGTGTCCTGCGGGAGAGAACCTGGGCTCGGACCCATGGCCCGGGGTGGCTGAGCCTTCACAGTCACCTGTCCCCTGGGGCATCGCCTGACCTGCAGCTCTCCCTCAGTGCCTCAACAAGAGCCCGATGTGGGCACTGGGGACGCAGCACTAACAAGGGGATGGGACAGGTAGCCAGCTGGAGCGCAGCAAGGGTGAGAAGCAAAACGGGGGCTGTGGGTGCAGAGTGGCTTAAGACCAAGGAGAGCCAGGCGCAGTGGCGCACGCCGGTGATGCCAGCACTCGGGAGGCCGAGGCAGGAGGATGGCTGCGAGTTTGAGGCCGGCCTGGGCTACACAGTGAGACCCTGTCTCAAAAAAGAAACAAGCTCAAAGAGCCAGGTGTATCATCCCAGCATTCTGGAGGCCGAGACAGAGACAGGAGGATCACAAGTCAAGCCCAGCCTGGGTAACTTAGTGACTTCTGGAGACCCTGTCTCAAAACAGAGCAAACACCGGAAGAGAGGTAGGAGGGACGTGTGGTGTGCGCCCTGGGCAGAGAAAGGACCGTCCCGCTCTGGCGCTGCCCTCACCCCTCTGGGGCGCTGTCCCCGGAAGGAGGACAGCCAGGACCCAGCTGACCCTCTCACCCAGCAAGGCTGAGGATGTGGAGGGGCGCGCTCCCATCCGGCCTCCACGGCCCGTGCTCTCCGACCCCACGCGACCCACCCAGATCTGCAGCTTGATCCTCTTGTCATTTCGGTAGATGGTCTTGACCTTGAAGTCGATGCCCACGGTGCTGACGAAGGCGGGCGTGAAGGAGTCGTCGGCGTAACGGAAGAGGAAGGACGTCTTCCCCACGCTGCTGTTGCCGATGATCAGGATCTTGAACATGTAGTCGAAGTTCTGGTCCGCGGACTCCTTCTGCCCATAACGCGAGTCCATGGCAGACGCCATCTGGGGGCGGGAGCGGGAGCGGGAACAGACAGCGTGAGGCGGCTCCCCGATCCCCGCCTGCCAGGCCAGAGCAGGCCCTGAGGTGCGGCCCACTCTGACCCCACAGGGAGCCCCAGGGTTCACGGGGCTCCCCCCAGAGGCTCAACGTGACCTTGAAAGGTCTCCCAGGTCGCCCTGCCTCCCAGATTGGGCTGTGACCCTGAACCCCAGGGGGGCGGGAGCCTGCACTGGAACTGGCCACCTCCTTCATCCTCCCCTGCCCTGGCTGAGAGCTCGCGTCGGGGCCGCTGCATCACGTGACACAGGCGGGCGTGCAAAACTCACGTGCAGCCCAGCGCACGCTCTGCAGACGCGCGCGTGCCAAGTGCGGACGCCACACCTGTCCACACATCAACCTGCACCCACACAGGCGTGCGTGCCTCTGTCACGCACCTGGACGCGGAGCTTTGTGCAAACGGCCGCGCACACACACGTGCACCGTGTATCGCTTCCCTGAACATCCCTGCGGCTCGTGCACACCCGCGCGCTGACCCCGACGGGATCGCCAGCGAAGACCTAGGCCCACGCGCAAGTGT